AGAAGGGTTGCATTTGGTGAACAGTCATTTTGTCAGAAATTGCGTGCACCAAGGTTGTTTGGGCATTTTCTAGTTTAGGTTTTACAGGTGAGGACATTGAGGCAGAGTGCATGCTCACATAACCAGAAAGAAGTAAAGCCACAAAAATCAGTCTTTGGGTTTCTAGAGGCAGGCTTTTAATTACTATTTGACTATTTTAACTCCCTGGTACTGCTTTGTTTCTTCCTAGTGAGTGAGAAGAAAGAGAACTTGCACAGACTATTGTGGTTTTTTTTCCTGCCTTCTGATTTAAAAAAAAAAAAGTATTCTCTAATGCATAGCACCACAATTTATCACATTAAGGAGGGAACCAGTGTCTCAGTTGTGAGTTTAACCTAAGAAGAAAAATCACTAAGCCTAGCTTCCTCTTGTAGAAAAGTAAAGCTGTAATTCATCAATTAGCTGCATTTTTCCCTGAATTTTAGTCTGAGTGTGGCCATGGCAGGTATCTAATCAGTATATATAAATGAAATTTCTGTCCACTTACTGTCTCCATCTCTAAGCATAGCACATGAGCTCGCCAAACTAACAATAAAAAGTTCCTTTGGTCTGGTTTGACCTGATGTAACTGCACTGACGGAGTATGTTTTGTTTTAAAATAAAATAGTGCCTTAGTTTGCATTTCAGTCACATGCCTTTCTCCATCCAACGTCGTCTTTTTCAAGTTTTGTGTGTTGCTAATTTATTGCGTTTTATCATCTAATTTGACACTGTCCAACAGAACTTTGTGCAATGATGGAAATGTTCTAAACCGTCCTGTACGGTAGCCAGTAGCCATATGTGGTCACTGAGCACTTGAAATGCAGCTATTGAGATTAAGGAACTGAATTTCTCATTTTACTTAAATTAAATTTAAATAGCCACATGTGGCTGTTGGTTTCCATTTTGGACAGCACAGATTTTATTAGGCTTTGACAAGTGAGGTGGTAGTTGACCGCACGATGTCATCAATGGAATCTTGAAATCTGTGAGACGCTTTTAAGCTATTCTTAAGTGTCATGAAATAATATGTCCTCTAACAGTTGACTCTTAACCAGCATTTTCATAGTCCTTCAGGAGACTAATGTCTTGTAACCTCGTTGGTAAGTGAGAAGGAGCAGAAATGGTGCTCACCTGTCTGGTCGGGGCTTGGTACAGGCCTTAGCGATACACTTGCTTCTGAGTCAGCACTTTGTATTTGCCGTATTAAGAGAGGAGTGGCAAAGTAGTCAGCCAGGAAGCAGCCCCAATTTGTTGGGATTTTCAGTGCGTACAAATGCACAGCTTGCTGCTGATGGACGGCGTGTGGGGAGAGCTCGTGGAGAATTACTTCTTTCATGATTGAATGCTGGTACTGGGTGGTATGTGGAAAAACAGCCTCCTGCTCATGTAGGCAAACAGCTGTTTTTATCTGAAAAATAATCATTATGACAGAAAGCACACGTTTTTCATGTTTTCTGTCACGTCTGTCAGAATATGTTTTGTGTTAAAATGTGCACGTTTAACCTGAAAAAAAAGTAATTGGTAATTTAACATAGTTTAAAAAAAAAGTTCTTAGCTGGAAATGGAAGTTTTTTTTTTTTCTTACCCTCTATACCAGTACTGCCCAAGAGAAATAAAATGCAAGGCACAGATGTAATTTAAAATTTGTCTAATAGTAACATTCAAAAAGTAGAAAGGTAAATAGATGGATTTAATTTTCATGTAGTTCATTTAACCCAATATATGTAAAATCCTTAAATGTGTAATCAGTATAAAAAATTAAGGAGATATTTTGTATTCTTTCTCTGTGATGAGTCTTTGAAATCTAGTTGTATTTTACACTTACAGCACATCGTGTGGCCTGGCCACATAGCACGTGTGCAGTAATGACATGTGGCCAGTGGCGACCCCATTGGACAGCACAACTCTAGATCCTCATACAGGGCATAGTGATCCTCATATAGGGCAAAATACCCTCAAAAGAGGAATTACCAAATACCCAGAAGAGATCATTAGCTTATCTGCCGCATTGCCAGGCATCAATCCAATTTAGTCTGAAGCTTTGGTCAAGAGGGAACAATAATTTGGGACGGTTGGTGAGAATGTATTTAGGGTTAAATTTTTTCTAGACACTTTTGGTGCAGTTCAAGTTTTCCTTGCTCAAATTGCGACAAGTTCTGAAGACATTTTACATTCTAAGTTTATGGATGTTATGTCATTTTGTCACTGTTCCAACACATAAACCATAAAGTTTTCAATTGTCGTATGAACTACTTTTTTTTTTAACTTTACAAAACAAAGACTGATTATCCTGTGGGTGTAAAACAAAATATTTCTCTTCATTAACTGTAACTAGTACTTTAGGTGGTCTTTTAATGCACCTTTACTTTGTTATTACATAATTTTGTAAATTAAATTCAAAATTTTTAAAAAGGCAGATGTTGTGTGGGTATGTTTAATGGGGCTATTTTCAATTGCGGTTAAAAAAGGCATTGAAAAATTCTGTTCTTTAAGTACTGTATCTGCACAGATGCCTGATGGCAGACAGAAAAAAACAGTATTACTCAGATGCTATATCTATGTTAACCATAAATAGTTGGTTTAATTAGTATGTATTTTCTGTAAGTAGGATGCTTGAAATTTGGACTGAAAATCAGGTGAACCTTACTGTTTTGGTTGTGTAAATACCCTTACATAAAGTAGGGTCTCTGGAGTCTGATGCATTGTTAGATATTTGAGTCTTGAATTTGTTGCTTTTAAAATCTCTCTGAGCCTAATTTTCCTTGAGTGTAAATAGTATAATCTGGCACAGAGTTGGGAGTCAGTAAAGTCTTGGTCAGAGGGATGGATGTTATGGGTACCTAGGTACCACCACGTCCAGGCTATTGTAAACACTCAAGGTTGGCTCTGTGTATGTGTGTAATTGCTACAAATTATATACAGAAAATATGTAGGCTAGCAAGTATTACATATAGGAACCCTTATATCTAGGAAGTCTGTAATACTGTAGGAAATTAAATATATGTATTCCATGTGTTATTTGTTATTTTTTTCTTTAATTTCTTGTAACTTGGGAAAAAATTTCATAACAAGTGAAGGGGCTTTGAATAATTGAATGGTTGAAAGGAAAGACCTGAAGTTCAAATATACCTTTTAGGATATAGTGTCTTAGCTGCTTGGCTTTTCAAAGTCATGTCGAGCTGCTCGAAAATCAACACCCGAGAGGTAGTTGTTGGTAGAAAGGAATGTTGCTTTTAAGAATGCCAGCAATCTAGGGAGAAAGTGGACCTCCATCTCCTAGAAGCCAACTCTGAAGGTACCGCTCAGCAGTGAGAGTTTTTAAAGGGGAAAAGGGAAGTCATCTCAGTTAAGCATTGAGATAGGGGATCAAACCCGTAGCCATCTCCCACCACATGTAGGCTTGTCAACCCCTCGTGGTCTGTCTTTGGATGCTGTCTTGTTCACACAGTTGTTTGCAAGATTTCTGAAGGGGAAGCTAGGGAAGAGATGTGGCCATCTGTTAATCACTTATTCTTCATTCCTGCTTCTTGGATCCACAGAAAGAACCAACAGGTTAGGCAAGTTATTGTATGATCAAAGGTTTAAAAAGTGTGCTCTGGCAGGGGTTGAGTAGAGGATGGGGGCGACTGATATAAAAGTTAGTTACAAGGTAACAAAAGCTACATTATAACAAGGAAAAAGGGGTTTCCTGTTGAGGGTGGTTTCCTGCAAAGAGCTGCTTACACTTCAGCACAATTCTTTTTCTAATGTGATGTTTGTAGAATGAATCAACTGTATCTACATCTTGGACTCCATTAGAAGCAAGAGATCTATGCTTTCTTTGGGAGATAGTTGAATGGTTTCATATCTCAAATGTTACCTTTGTTTCCCCCTTGACTCATGGGAGAGCAAGAGTACAATTAAATTGATTTTAAATCACATTTAGCATTACGTATTGATTAGATACAAGTGCTCTGAAGCAAATGTCACATTGTTCAGCTCCAAAAAGCATCTGCATTGGATAACAGAAGCCGCAGGAGCTTTCATTTCTGTTAAGTAATTCAGCCGATGTTGTAAGTCATGAGAGTGAGATACACATGGCTAGTAAATGGCTCCCAAACCTTATTATTGAAATGTAGCCTTCAATTCAGTTTATTAGCTTGTTCTTTATCTCATTTATATTTTATTACCTTGGAATACAGTCATAGGATCCTGGAAATGGAGTTTTCTTTACATAAATTGTTCCTAAAGTTTTAGAAGTCTTTTGCTAAGTGATGTCTAGGAGCAGACACAATGTCGACCAAGCCAGGTTTTTGAGATAAGGGAGGGTACAAATGTTTCTCTGAGTCGACTCTGATACCATCTCTATGTTTCTAACTTTATTTCTGTCATCTTTGTTTCTGGAGAGCAAATTCTTGGTTGTGTTAGAGGTGGAGAGAGTCGAGGGATGGTTTAGAAGGAAAGAAGTTGGATATATAAAGGCTTGTATTGTTAGAAGTGGTTCTCCCCAGAGTAGTTGCTTTTTCATAGCAGGGGATCCCCAAAAAGAAAGCAGTAAGAGGAAAATCACCCACTGAGTTACCTGGCTGTCACTCCAGCCCCCTGGGGGCTCCCGCAGGCTCTGCCTACACACATGGGATTCAGAAGTGGAGTGATTATCAACCCCTATTCTCAGCTCATGCCACACCCTCAGGGAGGAGAGTGATGCAGCTGTTGAGGTACTCTGTCCCTCTCCTTTTTATCACTTTCTGTTGCAGTGTGTCCCTTGGATACCCTGCCTGTTCTTCATTCATAGTCAGTTCTTTCCCTGGTGGTATCAGGTGCTTATATTTTCCTCCTTTGCTCAGATATTCCCCTCTAACCCATCTCCTTCATCTAGGCCCAGGGGCTAAGTCACGGGTGTGTTGGAAGGGTGGCATCACTTGGTGTTTAAGGGCATGGATGGGGCAGTCAGCCTGTCTGGGTTCAAATCGTAGCTTTGCCATTTAAAAGCTTTTTAACCTTTCCTGTCTACAGTAGAGATAATAGTAGGACATGCCTCCTCAGGTAGCTGTGAATACCAAATGAGTTAATGTGTGTAAAGCATTGAGAGTGGTACCTGGCATGTGGTAGAGTTAGATATACACACCCCTCTGGCATCATAGTGCTTAATAAACATGGCACTTGTTCTTCTTGGCATCTCCCCTGTTCGACTGACCCCTCATTTTTGTGTACGTAGTACAACTGGTGAAGAGGAGCATGTGGATTCAGAACAATTGCACCTCAGTCATGTGGGAGAAGCATAAGCAGCATCTCTGAGGGCATGCTTCCCCAGTCAGTGGAGTCCATTTCTGTATTAAGGAATTGGGAGCAAGAAAGAAACTACACAGGGTTAGCACCCAGGGCAGATGTGGGAGTAGAGCTGGGAGTTTGCCCCTGAATTTATTTTTTGTCTTCCAAAACATGAACAAGCTATATCCTCTGTCTGCAAGGTGCTTAAGAGTCCCGTGAGGAAGACAGATAAGAAATTAGCAACAATATCAAGTGTAAAATACCAACATACGTGGAAACACATGGAGAGAGGACACTTAGAATCACCCATGGAAAGCATGGGAAAGAGGGATGAGGCCAGGATTAGTAGATGTAACTGGGCCAGTGAGGAAGGAAGGGCATTCCAGGCAGAATGGATGAACAGCATGTGCAAAGGCCTGAATGTAAGAGCAGGTGGGGGAATCCAGTGTGGATGAGCGCGGTGTATGTGAGGAGGGGAACGGCAGTGGGCAGCTGAGGAAGTAAGCAGGATTTAGATCGTGCAGGGTCTTCAAACCCAAACGCAGGCATTCAGAGGGTTCTGGTGGCTGTAGGAAGACTTAGGAGAGTGTTTAACAAGAAGAATCTGGGGTCATGTTTGTACAATAGAACTTAGGTTTGGCCACATTTCTGAGAACTAAGAAATGTGAGCAAGACTGAGTGCTAGAACTTCTGCTTTAAAATACACAACAGTGGCTTTCTGTTTTCCAAAGCACTCAGCACTGTGATGCTCCTTTAGCTAAAAGCCATATATAGTCTGCTGCTGGCATTAGGTGGCAAGACGTAAATGTAACAGGTGTAAATAAGATTTGCAATCCAGCTCAGAGGATAATGAAACTGAGATTGATGTTTTTCCAGTCTTTTGCTTCCATAAAGAACACAGCAGCCAACAACCTTGTTCATACGTCTTTTAGGCACTTGTCCAATTATTTCCTTAGGATAAATTCCTAGAAATGGGTTTGGTGTTTTAGGGCTTTTGATATATATGGTCCCAGAACGATTTGGATGTCTGCAATCATGGTAGATAAACAGGTGCTGAATTTTGTGGCAATGCTGAAAGCACAGATAGAGAAATGAAGTATGCAGTGAGCAATCATGCCTGGACAGGCACACATGTCGAAGTTTTCTCTTTGGACGTCTTTGTGCCACTGTTTCTCTTCCCTGGTTGCGGTAAGACTTGATTGGATGAGTACCTGAGACTGACGGGGTGTTTGTCTATAATGACAAGTGCTTGACTGTAGCAGCAAATGATGAGCGGCCCTAGGGAGACATCACCACCCACTCGAGAGAGATCCATGAAGGGTTTATGACCCGTTTGAATCCTGATCGAGCATCACTGGCTTGACCCTCAGGGAACCAATTGTCTGGAATACTTGCTCTGTCAGTCTGAGCGATGTGCTTAGAATCCCTTGGAAACCTAGGAGCCCGATTGCTTGTAAGCCACAGACTGAATTATCAAGACGACCTGGAGACTGGAGCTGTGTTACTGCCACGTCGCACAGCCATGTTTGCTAAGTATATTGATGAGCTCATCAGACCCTGTATCCAATATGTAGCTTACCACATTCAACTATAAATTATTTGAAATTACAAGGCAATGAGTTTTTAACCTTGATCATACCAAATAAAATGGTTTTGTCTTTGCCTTTTGGCCCTTGTCTACAGTAGGAATGTTTACTTGCCAAATACAATGCAACAAATTTTAATGCTTTATAGAAATGTAAACACGTACATAAATTGTTGGCTAGTAGCTATGAAATGTGTGTCTTATCTTCAGAGTTTCCTCAACTGTGTGTGGAGGGCAGCGGGCATCAGAGGACATGACACAACCAGGATAGAGAGCATCACAGGCATACAGGGTGGGCCAGCTTGGTTCTCACTGCCCCATTTCACCTGGACGTCCCCTTGAAGAAAGGCAGGAATGAAACAGGACAGCTGTATGGTCTCAAGACTGTGTACTTTCTGCTGGTAGTTACCCACTAAGCCTCCTCCCTGAGTCCTAACTCATGTACCACACTGGACGTGGTTCTTTGGTAAAAAAGAAGTGAGCTCTGCACTCTCTTAGCAGCCAGGCTAGGACCATTGTTACTAAAGATGAAGGTAGAGCACCTTTATGGTTAGTAGAGGCATTGCCTGGTGGTCCATAGTCTCTATTTCCTTTTTTCTCTTTGCTCATGAAGATGTTCTTGTTAAAATCCTCTCATGGCGGTGTGGGTCACCAGTGGCCACTGGTAAGGAACAAGGTATATTTTGCACACAGAGAGGCTGCTCCTGGCTATTTTTAAAAGCTTAAAAGCTAATGACCAGAACCCTCAGCCAGAGAACAGTGGTCACGAAAGCTTCATTAAATATTAAAAATGGTTAGCTAAAACTAAAAAAAAAAAAAAAAAGAACTCCTGTATAAGTAGGTGCAGGAAACATCAATATTGCTCATTGAACAGTCTGTTCTTCTAATTTGAAAAGAACAACTATTTGTCATGGTTCTCGTCCTTGAGCTGGCAGTTACCTAATTAAATGCATATGAAATTCAAAAGACTTTACTAAGGGACAGTAATTTTCCTCGGTGGTTTTTAAAGTTGCAGGGACAAAAGAATTACGTTGAGCAGATAATGGATGGATTCTTCCATTGTGTGTTGAGGTCCTGAGTCGACTAATCATGCCATGGTTATTCATCAATGTGATACTTTATAATTTGAAATTAAAGGCACCCCTTTCATTTATCGCTGACTCTAGGAGTCCTATTGGTTCCAATTTTTTGAAGACTGTGACCTGAGTGGGGAAGCTGCCCCTAGAAAAGACTGCAGCACAAGACAAGACAAAGCTTTGGCTTGGGGTAGGTCATTGTGTACCCATGGGAAACATCCTAAGCTTTGGTCACTTTTGTAATTCTCTGTGTAGGAGTGTTTAGGATTTGAGAGATTCATGTCTCCACTCAGCCAGATGATCTTGTTTTGATTGTAACTGATTAATGTGTTGGTTACTCTCTCACCCTTCCCTGTCTCTACCCCTTCTGCCTTAGTCTGTGTTGAGTCTCTCTGCCCCTTTCTGTCCTGTGGACCACATTGCCCAGGGTCCTTAAAATTGGATCTAACGTGATGGTTAGGTAGGAAATCAGAGGATTGGAGCAGAAAGCAGTTGGAATTCTCTTTCCTGTTCCTTTGACTGAGCATTGTAGCTGGCATTGGCTACCCTTCCTCGTTGCCCTCCTCCACCCTCCAGCCCTCCCTGTATCACCACAGCCTCCCCTTGTCCTCTGAGTCATAGGGATGCCTGGGCTTCCAGCTGTTGCTACTTTGATTGTCTCCACATCTCTTGCCATCTGACATTTGAACTGAAAAAGGTGACAAACCCCCAAACTAGATCCTGGGAATATATTGTAAATAAGGTGGGCATTGTCCATTATCTGCTGCCGGAGATGCAACAGTGAAAGAGACAACCCCAAGTCCTTTCCCTTGTGGAGTGCATTTTTGTGGGGGATAAAGAAGCCGATAAGGAAGATGAGATATAAAACAGACTCTGTGTTATAGAATGATAAGTCCTAGGGAAAGAAAGCAAGCCAGGAAGGAGGATGAGCAGTGTTGTGAGTGGAGGGTGCTCTAATATACATGGAGTGGCTGAAAAGACCTCAGTGAGGACAGCTTAATCCTCATTCTCCACATTTGTTTCCTTCATTTCCCACTTCTTGTCTTCTCTCACTTATGTAATTAGCATTGCCAGATTCTATCAAATTTAAGTCTGGAAAGTAGAGTGTTATTTTTCAGTTACTGGGGTCCACCAGTAATGGAAAGGTGGTAGGAAAAATGGCAGTGTTTCTTTAGCCTTGGAAAATGTTTCCTCTAGACAGCATTTTCACGTGTCTCTTCTTCAACAAATGGGAGATACGGTTACAGTGAAGGGATGTCTTACTCCAGCTCCAACCCTCAGCTGATGGTTACTACTTCTAGTAGTTCTTGGCAAAGGCGGAGAATTCTGGTGAGGGAGACCATGCATCTTTTCAACATTTATTGTGTGATGGGCCGGCGGAGGGATGCACGTAAAATTTAGGACGTTGGCGAATTTATGGCTAGCTGATTGTCAGATGGTTATCTGTTTTGTTTTAAGTGAGATGAAGTGCCCACACTAGGTATATTTGAATCTTGTTTTCCTTTAATTACAAAATTTAGGTAGAAACCTTCTGTCACATGGATGATGGTTATATACATTTGGAAACATTACAAGAACAATTGTAGAGTCCAAACGTAAATGCATTCAATGAAAGTAAGACATAACATGTTTGTCACCCTGTAAAGCTAATCTTCTTGGTCCTCTCTACTCCAATAAATGCCCTTCTTGCAGGGCAGAGGACACTGATTCAGTTTCATTCTGAAGTGGCCATTGTAGTTTGACTCTGTATTATTAATTCCCTTTGGTTTTGTTTATTACATTTGAAATTTCTTCAACTATTGGAAATTTAGCTACATATCTATAGTACTGTTTTACTAACCAAATCCTATTAGATCCAGAGTAAAAAAAATTATTTTTAGCAACAGAATACATTTCTGTTGGAAAACCGCAACTCTCAAGGCATTTCTATATGCTAAATTATTGTTCTGTAGCTTTCATTAATTAGATTTCTATAAAAGAAATTTAAAACAAAACACTTTCACTAAAGGAAAAACGTGTTTAAAACATTTCAGGTCTTAGTTTGTTTGTGCAGATGTGTAAGGAATTTATTTTAAATAAATTATGTCCATTGCTTACATACTGCATATTATTTAATTTATCAAAAGTTTAGTGACAGTCTAAACTTAATATCTGGCTTAAGGGGTTTAATACTGATAACTTAATTTGGAACCATCTTTGTCTTCAAAAACCCTCTGGCTACTTAACAGAATGCAATAAAATATAATTATAAAATATGTAGCATGCCTTCATATTTCTAAATTTCCAGTGTGTGTTTTTCTTCCTTTAATCACTATAAAAATATGTACATGAATAATATGAAAGAACTCCAGTTTGCTATTTCATTCTCCATCTATAAAGTGCTGCTATGTTCCTTGGCAAGTACCAAGTTACGAGAGTTAGAGGGACATGGTGGAAAGAATCTCGTCACCTTTATATGACCTTAGGAATGAATTCATAAATACCTAGAAGGCTCAAGATCATCAAGTACTCTTCACTGATGCCTTGTAATTAAGAAAAGGGAAAAACCTTACTCTCTAGAGGATTTAAATCCATTGAAAGTACTGGTTTAGTAACCATGTTAACCAAAGAAAAGAAAAAAACGAATGCACCGAAATATCAGCCAAGTAAAAGGAGACGTGAGTTTAAAGTGATTACCTTATAGAAAGCAAAAAGTTAAGAAGTCAAATAATGAAAAATCCTCAAAGAAGCAAATCAAGCTATATAGTAGATTCCTAAGGTTCTTTGTGTGCAATGTATTTGTAACTGTGCAGTAGCAGGGCCTCTCAGGAAGAGGAAGCTTTACCTCCTTAATCCTCTTTCAACCGGAGCAGCTGTGTTGTCAATACCACTGTTCGAAACTGGCATTTCTGGCAAGCTTGGGAAGTTATTCCTTTCTCTTCTTTCAGCCCTGCTTGTTAGCCAAAGGGAAGTTTTACCACCTTTCCAACACTAATCTTTTTAACAGTTCGTGCACAGGCCCCAGGCTCAGAGCCTCAGGCAGGGATCCCATCTATCAAGAGTTTAATCTCTCTTTTGTTTGGAGGTTAACTCTCTATCTGTGGTAAGTGATACTGGTTTCCCAGTTATGTTGAGATACAACATTTCCATTATTTCAAAGTAATTTAAGGACAAACTGAGCAGATGTAAAGAAAATAGACACCAGATGATCACGCAGGAGGCACCAGATGCGACCAAAACCATGGAGGTGATGGTAGTTGGGAAACTGCTCCCAGTGAACTCAGCCTCCTGGGGTGTGTGGAGTCTGCGGTCCTCAGGGCCCTGGCCTGGCTCCTATCCTGCAGTGTGACCTGGGGCAAGTCACAGAACCTCTCTGAGCTTCATTTTCTGCATCTTTTGAGACGCTGGCTCACTGTGGTCTCTTTAATGAGACAACATGTGTAAGTGACCCTCCAGAAGTACTCAGAATTGCCCCGGAGGAAGTTCTCACCTCCAGAGTTCTCATTCTCTCTGCTTTCCTGTGATTGGCAAAGTAAAAATAATGGAGAAATGATGGTGGTTCTAAGGTAAGGAGGCTGGAGGCAGGCCAAGTGGATACTGGAAGTAATGCATTGTAGGATCTGAATTCTAATTAGGATTTTCGTCTTTTAGCTGAGTGATCTTGAAAGAGTCATTGTACCTCTCTGGACCTTAGACTTCTTGTTAATGAAACAGGAGGACTGGGCTATAGAATGTTTGGGTTGCCCCAAGGTTGATGCCTCCTTTGTGCCAGTTGGCTCAAACCTTAATGGGGTATAACAACGATCTTTCCCTGTCACCCTTGCCAAGTTAATGTCACATGTGGTAACGTATGTGAAAGCGCCTTACCACTGTAGACATGCCATCTATTTCAAATATTTATACCACTGTGATATATTGTTAATAAAAAAAACAGAAGTTTTAGTCCTAATATACTTGCAGATCTCTTGAAATTTGGAGACTAGGACTTCCGTACATGGAGTAGGCATTAGGATTGCTTGGAGATGTGTAATAAAAACAAGACTTTGGGCCCGCAGTATTTCTGTGGGCTGTGCCTGGACAAGTATGTTTCTAAAAAAAATTCCACAGGGAATTCTGAAGTGGAATCAGTGTGGAGAAGCCCTGATGGTTATAGGAAGTTCTTGAACTCCAGCAACTTACCTATAGGCTTGGGGGTTCTTCTGTCACTTGCTAGTTTGTAATCTTGAGAAAGTTATTTAATCTTTCAGTGCTTCATTCCTCATCTCTGAAGTGGGGAGAGGGACACTCTCTTTCAAGTTGCTGGAAGAATTAAATGGGATGTTGTCCTTCTTTTCTTTGCGAGGTGGGTACCATGTAGCAAATTCTAGTGGGAACAACTATTATCTTTGGTTGGGGCAGCCCTGAGCCTACAGAACAAAGAGGACCAAGCCTGACTGGCAGATCCCTCGTCAAAGAGGTAACAAGCTGAAAGAACTTTAATGATTTTCTTGATTTTCACTGAAATTTGTTGCTTCATTGTGGCCATATCATTAGATTTAGTGTATAATCTAACATGTTTGATTTAATCAATTAGTGAAATGGATAAGCATCATGATTTGGGTTTCAGTTGAGTCTTTGAGGCAGTGTTTGTTGATATAAAAATATTAAGTAATTTTAAAGAATTACCAGAAAGATTAAAATTTTCCTCTATTTGAAATTTATATTTCACTGATTATAATTATTCATCTTTCCTTTTATGTTTCTTATAATTTTTAATTTAGAGCACAAGTTTTTATAGAAGTGTATGTGTCTGTTTATTTGATTGGATTTTTTAGGTCATTAACTTTATTATTTTTTTAAGATTTATGTGAATGTCTGAAATTGTTACCAGGAAGATAATTGCCACCTAATGCAAATGTAACCTTCAGGATATACACACTTTCTCCCATTAGAGTAACTGGACAAGGCTTAACACTTGAATGTAAATCACAGTAAAAAGCATCATTTTTAGTGTGCACTTGTTAAATTGCTTCTTTATTGGAAGCTATTTGTGATGTGATTAAAAATCGAGAAAAAACGTTTTATCTCCAGTTAGCCATTTTTGTCACTTGTTACTACTTTGTCTGAGTGTACTTGGGGCACTCAAAATTTTATTCTGAGGTTTTTGTCCTGAAAATATTTTCTCACCCACCACTCAGTCACACTGCCATCATTGCTGCCCCTCCACCTCCAGCTCTTCTTCTCCTTCAGTGAGTGTCCTTGCTTCTAGAATCTTATACAGGATAAACAAAATGAAGCAGAAGCTTAACACTCTAATTGTTTGCATCAGTATTGAAACAACAGGAGGGTGGGAGAAATGGCTGGATGAATTTCACTGAATTTGAAAAGTTTATTTTAAATAGTTTATCTTAAAATACCAATTGGGTGGTGCGTATGGAAATTCACTTTAGAGAGACCTTGTATGGGAGAAATTCAGATATAAGGTGTCATCCTAGGAATCACTTGAAACCGAGGTACCAAAGGAGCCCCAAGTGCCTGTTGTTGTAGAGAGATGCTGTGGTGCCCCCTCTTACTGGATTACCCAGAAGAGTTCCTCTATTTTTCTTCCTAACAAAACCCTATCATGTGTAGGCATTTCTCCCACCTCCCACCCACACCCATACAATTATAGGAAGAGGACCCTGTCCCCAGGACCAGGAGTCCATCCTGGTGTGAAAAGACCCAAAGTTAGCAACCCAAAACATATTATGATAATTACACTCTAACACTACGAGAGAACAACAGCTTCCCTCAGCATCTCTGGGACCTTCAACGGTTATTACTTTATTCATGTGGTCTCAACATGGCCACGCTGCAGTTCAAGTTGGGCCATCTGCTGTCCTTGCCCCGGTTTTCTACGTGCCCATAAGGGGAATTCCCGTATCTTCCCATAAACATAGTCTGCATATTCCAGAAAATGTGATACTTTTCTGTAGCTCCACTTGAGGGTTAAGCACTGTCTCTGGCCTTTTCCTGGCAGCTAGTTATCCCAATCCATACAGTACTCCATCACCTACTCTACTCAGTGTGTGTTTGTTTCTGAGAAACATCACCCTGTCAGAACGTATACTCAGTTGCAGTAAAAAAATCAATTTTATGTATTGATCAGAATTTGTCAGCACATCTTTTGAAGATTCATAGCATCCAGTTTGCTCGGCCATTGTGGTGGGGAGCCCCAGACCAAGCCCTGTAGAGTGAAGAGGGGTCACTGCATGGGTAGGTAGGTGAATGAGTAGATGAGTGAGTTTTAAAAGGGAGACTCAGAGAGATTGTACAGGCTGAATAGTGGCCTCCAGATATGTCCACATCCTAATTCCGGGAACCTGTCAATGTTGCCTTATGTGGCAGAAGAGTCTTTGCAGATGTGATTAAATGAAGAATCTTTAGATAGGGAGATATGCTGAATTATCTGGGAGGGCCCAGTGTAATCAAAGGGTCTTGGTAAGAAGGAGGCAAGAGAGGTGGCATCAGAAAGAATGAAATATGACGACAGAGACAGATTGGAGTGAAGCTCTTTGAAGATTGCAGAGGGCTCTCAAACCAAGGGATACAGGCAGCCCCTAGAAACTAAAATAGACATGGTGTTGGATTCTCTCCCCAGAGCCTCCAGAAGGAGCCAACCCAGCCAACACCTTGCCTTAGCCCAGTGAGACTGACTTCAGACTTCAAAACTGGAAGAGAATAAATCTCTGTCATTCTGAGTCGCTAAGTTTTACAGTGACTTGTCACAGCAGCCGTAGGAAGTTAATACAGAGATTCGTCAACTTATAAAATGTCAGTGAATGAGGACTGAAGTCAGACTGGACTATAGTTCTGCTGACTGGGCACGCAGTGCTCTCTGCACCACATCACATGGTCGGGATGCCAGTAATGGTGGCTTTTGACCCTTCTCATGGGGTGTATGTGCTGTGACAAGGCCCAAAGGAACAGGGGCTTGGGACTTGGATGGAATTTACTTGACACATTTCACTGTTTCCTTATAAGGTTTTTTCCTTCTTTTTTCTTCTCTTCTCTTTTTTTATGAAGGAACATTTCCCTCTACTGCTCCCATACCTTTCTCTTCAACTTTCTCCATACTTGCTTTTTCTGATTTCTGTTTCACTCTTGATCAGTGCTGTTTCTTTCGGAGAAGAAAGTAAAACTAGCTGGAAGTGGGCTTGACTTTATCTTGGCCAGCTCTTTCTTTCAACTTCCAAGGAAAAAGGCAAGCACTCCTTGCTTATCGTAAGTTGGGGGGCTAATTTTCAGTTTTTCCTACATACTAATTGTCACATTGGTGCAGTGATTTGTTAGTGGGAAAATATCATTATTTTAATATTTTTATTAGCAGCATTTTTATGAGCTTCTGTCCCCCACACACCATATGTTAGTAGCTTTGTGGTAGTTAAGTATTGCAATACCCAGAAATTTGGGTATGGATGGAATTCATTGTGAATAGTAAGCCATAGAAAAATCCAGTGAGCAACGGAGGAATTCTAGCAGACCGTCTGATAGAGGGATTGTTTCATTTTGATAATGGCTGCATTTTGTGTTTATCAAAGATTGCAAATATCAGTCCCAGGATAAATAGAATTCTCAGGAAGGTTGAGTTATATATGCATTTGTTAGGGGAATTGATTTTCAAAAGTCCTTAACTCAGCTTTGTTTGGTGGGTCTTAATACATACCTGTAAGGAAAAAAAGGAATTTAAGTTGATAAAGGTTATTTGATTTTTTAAAACATAAAGTTGAGTGACAAATTGAACCTAAAAGTATGAGAATATATATTATCCACTTAAAATTGACACACTGCTGCAACCGTATATTTTGCTGTGATTTTTTTTTATAAGATACAGCTTGGTTTACACATTTTATAGTGAATAAGAATCATTTGAAGTTACTTAATGAACTTTCGTCTTGGGCATTTTACCGAAGAGATTTTGTGTTAGTCAATTAAGAATGAACTCTGGAATCTCTGTTTAGCATTCACTATAGATAATTCAGAAATCCTCAGGATAGTCTTTAAGAAACCTTGCAATATATACTCCATCAATAAAGAAAATAGTGAGTGTGTGACATTATTTTAAGAAATTCCTGAAGTCTTTGGAAAAATAGTTCTCAGAAACACTGTTGGCCGTGTGTAAGATATGCTGTGCTAAGTTACAGGACACTTGAGAAGGTTTCATCTGCTTTGAGTGAGCCTGTGGCAATCGTAAGGTTCTGGATTTCACTCAAGTTTGTAGCAATGCAAACGGCATCCTTTAGATGTGGCTGTAATGCATTTAGCTCAGTGACAAGGAGACTGGTGGATATTTCCATAAGACGTACCTACTGAGAAATAGTGCTTGCTGCCAGTACCTTGATCTGTGTACACTGAGTGTTTAATAGTTTGCATTTTTTGCTTATTTACTTGTCCTAAATGCTTAATGAATAGGCTCTGTGAGGCTTTAATTTTCCACCAATCCTAAGTTTATTACTGAAGTTTATTACTAAAGTTTATCAAGCAATAAACACACGATTGCACTTATACTGTCATGTTTTTATAAAGCAGTTTATAAAAGGTGACATCTGGCAAAGAGGCAGATCTATAAAAATCATGCTGGTGGATGTAGTGTCATTTTTCTGCCATACTCCCAGAAAGAGTAATATTATTTTGACACACACATACATCCCCACTGTCAAGCTTCTATTTTTATAGTTAGCTTACTGCACATATCCTTAAGCTATACAAAACCTTTGGGCTAATGCAAAAAGTGACATTTCTGCATATTTATTACAATGCTATTTTAGAGGTTGACTTTGCCTGATAGGATTTTTCCAAGAACAGTGTCATTTTCATGACAGTAGAAATTGTTGAAAACAATACTACTGTGCAGTTAGTCAGAAAAGGTCAAATACGGAAGGACAAATCATAAATAGCTTGATTTAATACTTGGCATGATTATTTCTCAATATTTGCTAGATATAGGGGTAGAAAATAGGTAACAACATAAGCCTGATGAACAGTTCCATAAATAGTCAGAATCTGAACTAATACTTTAGTCAACGAATGCCCTACCCCACAGTCCAGAAACCCGATTCCTGGAGAAATGAATGCATTTATCCACCAAAAGACTGTACAGAAATGTTCAGAACAGCTTTATTTATTAAAAAACCCCAAACTAGAAGCAGGCCAGATGTCTGTCAACTGCCAAATAGATAAATGTAGTAGACTTATACCATGGAATATTTCGCAGCAATAAAAACACACCATCTACTGCCCCTTAATGAGTGAATCTCACACGGGCAGCTGAATGAAAGAAGCTGGCTACTAGAGTGTACCTACTGTATGATGTGCAGTATTGTAAAATTCGACAACTGGCAAAACTGACCAATGATGATAGAACTTAGAATAGCGTGTGTGTGTGTGTGTGTGTGTGTGTGTGTGTGTGTGGTGGGGGAGTTTTTGAGGGCACTGCATCATTTCACTATCTGGGTCGTGGTTGCCTGTGTGCATAACACATACAAAAATGCAGAGAAGTACACTTAAGATGACCCCACCTTACTATATGTTCAGGATACTGACTGCTTTGTGATAAACCAAAACTTAGCAGCTGACACTGATTTGTTGCTATCATGACTCACACTGGTGTGGGTCAGGGATTCATACAGGGCATTGCAGGGAATGATTAGCTTATCTCAGTTTAGTAAAGTCTGGAGCCTTGACTGGGTTGACTCAGATGGCAGCAAGTGGGTTAGGCATCTCTCTATCTTGGGCTTTTTCAGGACACGTTGACCTCAAGGATGTCAGACTTTTTACCTTAGAGCCATTCATGACTTTAAGAGCTGGTGTTTTAAGAGATTAAGTAGAAATACCAGCTGCTTAAGCCCTGGACAGAGTAAGTTGTGCTGAATTCCCTTGGTAGAAATACTTAGTGAGCCCACTAGACTGAAGGAGAGGGGAAGACAGACCCCTACCTTTCACTGGAAGGAATGTTAAAGATTTTGTGGCCAGCTGTATTTTGACACACTGTGTGTGTGTGTGTGTATATATATACATATATATATATATATCTTGATTAAGAAGTTTTCTTAAAAAAGCTAAAATCAACTATGACTCTTAAAATGTTCTTTCCTGTTGGAAGGTATTGTAAAATTTAAATCTAGTTCTGAAAAACACAAACGACAAAAGAGAACCTCCATCTGAAATCACAGTTTCCATCAGATCATACATCTCCTCTCCATTTCTTTTTGAGGTTGAAAATTCTGTGACTTTTTCTTCTGCTATTTGAAGTTTCTGGGCTTTGAGTTTTATTTTTGCCAGGCTTGGGTGAACTTTCATTTAATCATTTACGGCCTAGAGTTAACTGTCAGATTGAACTCAGATAAGGCTTCTGATACGAGTGAAATCCACTGCGCCTTTTGATTTATGGATAATGAATTTGCCCTCTTACAGTCAAAGTATGATTTTTAAAAAGAAATCCTGTATCTCTTTTTAATCATCTATCAGACCTAGGTTGCCCAACAGATCTCTTTGTAAAAGTCCTTATTAAGAGACGAGCACAGGACAGCTGCGTTGATGCAGCGAGCTTTTATATGAGATTGACTGGAAATGTTTATTCAGGCTAAATAAAGCCCGCATGAAAGTGGAGCCTTTTAAACTATTCGGCTTCATTCGAACATGCCACTGATGTAGACAGCTTGGGAAAAGCAGCGTGTGTACACACAAAACCTCATTATCAAACATCCATTGAGCTGCACCCCTCCTCGCAAACATATCAGAAGGTTTCAATGTCAGCACACCAAGTATCTCCAGCAGAGATAATTACCGCATCCGCTCCTGGCATAATTTGGGTCAAGAGAATCACTTCAGCTGGATCGTTAAACAACATTGTACATCTCATTTGAAGAAGTTTTCCGGGCCATATCTCAATTTTGTGCCAGTAACTTCAAAGTCCATTTTACAGAGTCAAGATTAGAAAAATCTTACCTCACCCTCCCAGATTTTCTTTTTAATGAACTGCAGAAACGCTATCCTCTTGCTCCCTCCCCGAGCCCTGACCCCCACCAGACCAGAAAGGATTTATGCAATAATTCCATATCACCATAATTTCAAGACCCTGCTTTCATTTGTCACTTAAAGAGCTTTCCTGTACATAAAACCGTCAAGCCAGCCCCACAGCCGTATCACTTTGTCAAAACAGAGTTGTTTGCACTTGACGTGACAACCTATTTGTATAAAGTGCCAGGGTTTGAACTAAATATACCACATGAAATGTAAGTTATAGATGGTGGAATCTTGTTTGCACTGCTTGTCATTTGCTGCTCACTCTTTCCCGCCAGCTTTCTAACTCAGCTCCCACCCCTAATCTAATGGGACTGTTTTTAAGAGACCCCTTTAATTTAGACAATATTAATGGTGTTGCTTGAGCCACATCAAAGGGCACATAGTTCCACCGTTTAACACATTGATTTCCTCTCACTTACCTCTGACTCTTGAATACTGTAGACTATTGATAACAAGTGCCCAGGTACATATCTGTATACGTGTTTATGTAAATGTCACGTCTGAAGCATGTGTATGTGTGTGAATAATATCCACGGGTGCGTCAGTGAGTATGAGAGACATACCTTCAGAACTTTCTGGATTCTGATCCATTTCCCTCTACTCTCAAGCCCTGGGACCTTGGACAAAAATAAGATGTTTGAATTTGTTTGCTCATCTGTAATTTTGGGGACATAATCCCAACCTGCAGAATTGTGGATGCACTGGGTCTCACGTGTGGCGTATCAGGAAAACCAGGCAGTCTCAGTGTTCTTAGGGCCGTCACAGCACATTTTCTCTGCTGTGGGTTGAGCTGATTCCCTTTGGAAGATTTTTTTATCTTTGTTTTCATCTAAATATTTCCAAGAATTAATTATTCATACTTAAATGGTTAAGAAATTTAAAAAAGAGTATATTTAATACCTACTTCATGTAGATATCCTTCACCATAAACTAGGTCCTTCCTGGATGTGGTGTTCCCACGCTGCTTCTCAAAGGTGTCCATAGGCCAACACTAGTGGCTTTGTTATAAGCCTGCACAAAATACGGAATCTCAGATCCCATCCTGGACCTGTTGAAACAGAAACTGCATTGCATCCTTTATTTATTTTCACATTACAGTCAGGGAAGAACTTTTCCAGTAGAATGACTCCTGGCTCTTAAGTTGGAAAACCTAGGTTGTCATGGAATTTGTTTTCAAAAGTTTCTAATCATGACCTTCAGTAAGAAATGATTTTATATTATTACCCAACAGAGGGGAGCACACACACTCATAAACACATACATTTAAAACAAAAGTTTCACCGAAGAGTGTTTACCCTTGCCATATTCTGAGCACTCAGATACTTTTTATTTTCCATTTAAAGCATGCCAACCACGGCCCCTTAAATGGATTTTGTAACCGTTCATAAGGGACCGTGGTATTACATGACCTTGGGCAAGTCTTTTTTTTTCCTCCCTAGGCCTTGATTTTCTCAATTGTAAAAATGCATGTGGTGGATCAACTGATTGCAAATGTCTCTTAGCTTGGGCAGCCTGTGATACACTTTGAAATGTGAGAATCTGCCTCTGGACTGCATTTTAAAAAGGGCGTGTTCATTGGTTATTGCATGTGTTACTTTATTGAGGGGGCCTGAAGGAGCACATACAAACAGTGACTCACAGACCACAGCTTTTGCATAATAAAAGCTCCCGGCCCAGAATGGTAGACAGTGTGAAGTGAACAATTCTGGGCAGGTCCTAAACACGTGTCATGATTTAAGACAGAAAACACACTTACAAGTTTTTGAAAATGCATATGTTTTACACATACTTTTATGTGACTAAAACATAATGAACTAAATCCTTTTCCTGTCAAATACAATTAGAATATTAAGAAGTCTTCTGTTTAGAAAAGAATGGTAACTCTATAGTAGAGAAAGCTGACAACATCTTGACCAGTGATCAGAAGTGACATCACCAGTGAAAGGCAGACTGTCACTGTGTCCCTCCCGACACAGTGTGACCAGTGTGGTATTCAGGCCAAGAATCTATAGCATGCATCTGCTCTCCAGTACACATCAGAGAAACCCCAAAAGGGGAATAGTTCTTTTAAAACAAAAATGTGTGTGGGAGGTGGGGATGGAATATATTGTGGAACAAAAAAGTCAAAGACAAAGAAATGTTAGAAATCAAAGGAAGCTAAAGAGACATGCACAGTAAATGAGATCCTATCCTGGCTCTTACACTGGAGGAGGAATGCCATAAGGGACGCTACTGGGTTAATGGGCAAAACTGAGAAACAGGAGATTAGATAAAGTATTGTACCGATGTTACATTCACTGAAGTTGGTTGCTGTCCTGCGGTAGTAAGACAGACTGTCTTTATTAAGAAACATACACTGAATGCAGCTTATTTTCAAAATAACGGCAGGACTAAATGGTATGTATTTAGGCAGAAAGTGCAAATGATAAGCAGATGGGGGAAATACTAACAGTAGATGAATCTGGGGTGTACATAGGTGCTCCTCGTGCTATTCTGGTTCTTGGGATTTGAGGATAAATTTGGAGTTCATTCCAGAAACAATGTTTTATGTAAGCCTGTTTTCCCCTTCCTCTCCTCTAATTGTGTCCCTGTGTGTTCCCAGAGGGCCTGGGGCGCGTTTGCCTTGGGGGCCGTGTCTGGGGAAGGCCAAGTGAGGCTGAGCTGCAGTCCCTGATGTTTTCTCATGTCCTGGAGCTGTTCTGTTAGCTTCCCCCGGAGCTGACAGCGTAGGCCTGAAGTGTCTACCTCCTGCCTCTGCCCCTGTCCCTTGGGCTTTTCAGTGTGTCCCTCTTCTGTCAGACCTACCTCTGGTCTAGTGTCCAGATTTATTATTGATTATCTGGTTCTCTGAGTCTCTCTTACTTGGCCTTTGGCTGGCCTTGACCTCTGCCCAGTTGTTGTCTTCCTGCCCCAGTTAACTAAATCTTCCCACCTTTGAGCACCGTCTCTGAGAAAGTACTGCTCTCTTTTGGTCTTAAAGGAACCCCAAGAACTTCTTTTGAAAAACACTGTGGAACAGGGACTCAGATACCGACAGAGGTTTGCACATACCAGGGAGTCCAGAGGCTTCAAATGAAAGGTCTTAGGCTCTCCTGAAACCATAAATCCACAAAATAGCTTTAAATTTTTCTTTTTTTTTTAAAAGCCATGGTCTCCCTTTCCTGTGGCAGAGGAATGCTGGAGGGATAAACAGAGGTGGTTCTTGCTTGTCTGCTCTGCCAAGTGTCCACATGGCCAGACAGATTTCAGAGCAGTGGCACTCAGTAATTGTTAACTATCCTTCAAATTACCCATGTCCTTGTCCTCATGAAGATGCAGTCTTATTGATGAGGTGAGACACTTGAATGGGAAATCAACTGACAGCTTGTGTGGTTACGTGCATTAAAAAGTATGTATAATACACAGTGAGATAGGAGAAACCAAGAGAACGTCGTGGCTCTAGGGGTGACTTGAGCTGACAAAAGAAGTTGGGGAGCGGTGAGGATGTGTCTCCCAGAATCTCAAGAAAATAGCTCTATGATGAAAAAAAAAAAAAAAAAAGAACGCAGGAAAGGGGACCAGCACTGGGGCACAGGATGTCAGATGGTTCCCTGAAAATCAGATCTCGGGGTCTGAGGGGTGAGGGGTGACGGAAGAGGACTCAACCCTTGGGCCTCGGGCTGCGTTTCCTCAAAAAAGCTTCATTTTAGACTCTAGAATTTTTTCCAAAAGAGGAGAGTTTCATAAATGTCTGGCAGGAAGGTAGAAGCCCTGTCATACCTCCTGACCACTCGCCTGCCGTGCACTTGGAATTAAAAAAAAAAAAGAAGTCATTACTTTATAAATATCTTAAGTATCCTAGTCTTATTTTTTATGTTCAAAGTGTCTTTTTTAAACATAGACTATACTTTTTAGACCACTGGCTTAAGATTTCTTCCTTTTTATTTTTTAGCATACCAAAACCCACAGAAGTGAAAGTGGAGGTCTCTCTCGCTTCCTCTCAGAAGCTCTGTCCATCCCCACCCCGTAGCCCTGTAATAACTCATCTCAGAGTACATCTCCTGTACCTGGTGAGGCGGATTTCCTCCTCTCCTGGCCACCTCCCCCAACCCCAACATAAACAGTTCCAACCTTCTATTGCAAGCAATGTTGGTGTTCACTTTATTGGTAATTAATTACTAGCACTTCCTTGACAGAACATAATGGAACGACAGAGCAATCACTTAGAAAGGGAAACGACTGTCAATTACCACTCTAATGAATCCTGTTTAACAGAGGTAACGGCAGTCCGGCTGATGCACAACCTTCTGTGCAGTGAAAATGGATCTGTTAAAAACTCCATTTCTGTACTGTTTGTGA